AAACAGAACTATATCTAAAAATTCCCATTGTCTTGACCTTTGAAATAATAGAGTTAGTCTCATCAAAGTTAGTATTATATTTGCACTGGTGCTTTTATGTATATGTATGTGTGCTGGCACTTGGGCTTGAACACAGGGTCTTGGGCTCTTGCTTGGCTTTTTCATTTAGCCCTTGAGTTACATCTCCAGTTCAGGTGTTAACTGGAGATAAGAATATCTCAGGATCATCTGCCTGGGTTGGCTTTGAACTGTCCTTAGATCTTCCTAAATAGGTAGGAGAGGTATAAGCCACCCACCTTCTGGCATCTCTCAAATAAAAAATATATATCTAAATATATACGCAGGATGTACGTACGTATGTATGTATGTATGGTGTGTATTTGTTTATTTCTGGTGATGGTACTAATGACTAAACTTAAGGCCTTGCACTTGTATGACTCATGATCTACCACTTGTGACACACTTCCAGCCCTTTATGCTTTGGTTATTTTTCAGACAGTCTTGTGCTTTTGCACACTAATGTGTGCCTTAGCCTAAAATCCCATTACAGCCTTCCCTTACAGGCATGTGCCGTTATGCCGGCCCCTCCCCTCTTTTTCTCTCTCCCCCTCCCCCGCTACACTGAGGTACACTGGGTACCCGAGTGGCCAAGGCTGTCTATCTGGGAGAATAGGGTCTGCAAACCCATGAGCTGCAGTGATTCTCCTCCCTTCCAATTAGATTTTGATGTAATTGGCCTGAGGAGAACCTGGGCATTGACATTTTTTTTCTAGTGTTCCAGGTGACTCTGATATACCACCATCGTGGAGAGTGCAACTGGGCATTATCACTTTTTACCATGGTGTGGGTACAAATGAACAGATATGGCTTAAAAGGGTGAGAAAGTCCTTGGCCCTTAAAATGGGGCCAACCTGGAAGAAGAGGACAGTTCACCCTCTAACAGTCTCTAACTTGTCTCCTGGCTCCTGGGCTCAGCATCTCCAAGCTCTGCTGGAAAGTTCAGAACACTGAGTCCATTGCAGGAGAGATAAGAAATGATCAGAAATGAACTCCAGCCTCAGAAGATCTCACCCACACCCTCCCCACCACAGTTAACAATATGATGTGGTTTTTAATCACACCACTCCAAGAAAAGCCCTTCATATACTGTAGAAGAAGAAAGAAGAAAAAGAATGGTACACTCCTGTAATTTTAGCTGAAACTGTAGGATCTAGAGTCAGCCAACTTGGGCACAAAAGTCTTCAGTTAACTAGCAGAATGCCAGACTGGAGGCATGGCTCAAGTAGTAGAGTACCAGCCCTGAGCATGTAAAGAGAACAAGATCCTGAGCTCAAGCTCCAATGTGCGCACACAAAAAGAACTGAATAGAGGGCTGGGAAGGTGGCTCAGTGGTAGAGCGCTTGCCTTGCATGCTCGAGGCCCTGGGTTCGATTCCTCAGCACCACATAAGCAAAAAGAAAAAAGCCGGAAGTGGCACTGTGGCTCAAGTGGTAGAGTGCTAGCCTTGAGCTGAAGAGCTGAGGGACAGCGCCCAGGCCCAGAGTTCAGGTCCCATGACCGGACCCAAAAAAAAAAAAAAAGAACTGAATAGAAAAGAAAGAAAAGAAACTATATTCTTTTCAGCATCCACAGTAAGGAAAGGATGAATCTTCTTGGTCTGTTCTTCCAGACAGGAAGAGAAAGCTAGTTGGTTCCCAGGGGGAAGCTGGAGGCTAGGCACTGTGCAGAGAGGAAGTGAGAGACTTCCAGAAGGCACTCTGCTTTGCTGGGGTGCTCTCAGCAGGCCATAGAAAAGTGATTAAAGAAGAGATGCAGCACAGTAGTAGACATTTGCCTAGCATGTAGGAAGCCTCAAGTTTAATGGCCATCATTGACACAATGGGGATGTGTGGGTGGGGGGAGTTGTCCCTTTACATCAGGCTTACAGGATGCTGGATGATGAAAATAGGATCTGTAACTGGCAGCTCTATGGATGTCTGAAAAACTTGCACAACTCTATGTGTGCGTGTGTGCATGCTCACGTTTTTAGAGTTGTTTGCTTGTTGTTGTTGTGATTTTTTAGCTTCCCAAAGACTAAGGATGACAACTGGTCGAAGTAATGTTTACGCTAAGCCAAATAAAACTTGTTTACTCACACACTCCATCCCACCAGATCTGTCCAACTGAAGGTCGCAGGAGTAGGTGCAGCACATTGCAGAAGTGGCTGACACACATCCTTTGTATTCAGCCTCCAGCTGCCCAGAGTGCAGCCACTGAAGGTGATAACTTCTCCATACTCAGACGGCCCAAACACAGCAAACTGCCACCCACTTTGCCCTGCCTGGAAGCTTGGAGCTTTCTTCCTTATTGCAAGTACAGGGGCTCTCTGTTTCCCTGTCTCTGGTCTTTCTTCAACTTTGTCCCCGCAAACTTGAACAGTTTTCCCTTGGGTCTACCAACATCCATTGCTACACCCTTAATCCCGAAAGCTCAGAGACCACCATCTTAGTCTGGAAAAGCCCCCTGGTTATCACCCTAGCTTGTTACAACATTCTGGAATGTTCTTCCAAAGTCTCTGGCAAAGTCTTTGCTCAGTTTTTTTCTCCCTAGTAAGAGTCTAGGTCTTGTCTACTAATACATGCTCTGCAAAAGGCCACGAGAATGCAAGATTGTTTTAGATTACAAGAAAACCATTAACACTGACTTCCTTTATCACTGTTACACTATAGCAAAAATATGAGAAAACTATCCTATGACTTTAACTATGGGAGAAAAAGCAATCCTAATTATTCTTGTTTTTACTAACAACTTATCATGCATGCCTAATTTCCACCTAGCATGATAACTGCTTGTGGACCATGAAGCAGATCTTATTTTGAACTCTATTCAGCTATGTTCAATCTTGAAAAGTTAGCTAGTCCGAGGACAGAGCTGTCTGCTTTCAATTTAGGGGGAAAAAATCATTAGAAGAGAATGTTGGCTTCGACAATAAGAGAAAGGCAAGGTAGTCTATGAAGTCAAGGCCATCTTCAGCCTTCACAATTAACTATATCACCTGAGAAAGGGCAACTTACATCTCTGAGCTTCTCCTCCAGCACTATGTTCTGGCTTCCCTTTCTTTAGCTCATGCTGGGGCTCAGACCCAGGACCTGTGCATGCTAGATAATCACTCTGCTACTAGAGTTGTGCTCTGGGCCCCACGTTTTCCTTAAGTAGTAGTTCCCTTCCTTTTAAATTTTATCTTCTAAAGGAAACACACAGAAGCCCCAAATATAGAGCAAGATGAAGAGCTTCCTAAGGGCCCCTCTGCGGTATCTTCACAGAGCTCTGGGGTTCTGTATTCCGCCTTGATTTAAGATTTTGTAAGAATGGGGCAGGGCTGGCATGCCTCCTTATGCAATTCTCACAGTTCTGGAGCAAGGGCCCAGAATAACATGGCGGGAGGCAACCTCCTAGGAGCAACTCTAGTGAACCGGAATGGTACCCTGAAGACCCCTGCAGAAACAGGTGGCGAGAAACATTTCAAACTTTCTTGTACAGCAGTTAAAGCATATAAGTTGGAATACCCTCACATTCAAAAGAGCTCAGCCCAAATGATTTTTCTTTAATTCCAAATCGACCACTCAAGATTGTTGGTGAAGAATTCAACAAATAATAACTCCAGTTATGCCTCTATTTCAAAGAGGCAGTTTATAAACCTGTGGTTGCCCACGCTCTAAAATACTAAGCCGTTCGTCCTAATGACACAGCAGTCCCTGAACTCTGGAATACCACAGGACATCACGCCACTGCAAATTACTAGGGGTGCTGAGTCTTCAAAAAGGGGAAGGAAGACAAAAGCACTGCACTGTTTTTTTTTTTTGAGATGCATATTTGATATGGACGAATGGAATCTTTTTTTTTCAGATTATTTTCCCCGAGGCAGAATTATTCTGCACAGTTACCCAGCCTGTAAGTTTTCCCTTTGTTGTATCTATCTATGTATAAACACACAGCCCATGTGGAGGGCTATTTTCTCTCTCCCTGAAGCCTGGGAAGACAAGGCCTTTTTGTCACGGGTAAGTGCAGGGTTAGTCAACCTTACAAAAGGAGTCATTTAATGCTCAATTTCCCCAACTTTCCTATGATTAAAAAACTTCTAACCTCAAACGCAGTTATTGTATGTGAGATAGTTTTTTTTCTTTCTCTCTCTCCCCCAACAAATGTTTAAATTGTCTCCACTAGGCTGCATTCTGTTTTTTTTCTTTTTTCCAAGTTGACCTTGAAAACTGAGACTTTCTCTTTTTTCTCTTATGAACCCTAAACTATTTCAAAAATCGAAGCCCTCTGACCTTTTTTTTAAAAACACACACACACACACACACACACACATCTTGCCTCACATAGCAAATGCTAGACTGAACGCCAGAAGAAGGTAAAAGGGTCTAGGGGTGGGGGCGGGGGTCCGCTATATATCTGGCATGGGCTCAGAAATTCAGAAAATGTTGGTGCAACCACTCCCCCCCCCCCACGCTCCCCAGCCAGGATCCCCACTCCACCCCTGCCCCCACGGCCTTCCAGCTCGTTCATGTTGTAAAAAGGGTGTGAACTGATGAATCCAGAGGGACGGTGAAGGCGGTCACCAGGGTGTGCACTGTGGAAAGTCCACAGGAGGACCCAGCCACACAGGTCCCGTCTCACCCCTCCCTTCCAACACCCCAGATTTAAGGACAGGACCTCTGGCGGATCCGGAATGGGGTCAGTTAAACTTGTCGCGACCCTTGCCCACGCCAGAACTGACAGCCGCCGGGTGTCAGGGTGGCCCCACCGCCGGCCGCACCTTCAGAACCAAGTATGTTCTTAAAAAAAAATAAAAGTACAACGCGCGAGCGCACAAGCCTGGAATACATTAACTTACGAACTGAATCCCACACACCCCAGGAGAATCCTCCGCTGTCTCAGACAAAAAGAAGAGAGCAGAGGGGAGGGCGAGGGCGGGATGGGGACGGGGACGGGGTCTGGGACGGCCCAAGGCACCTTACCATCCTGTCCCGAGCTCTCCAGGTACTCCGTGAGGTCACAGCCGAACGCACCGCTGGCTCCCTTTCGTTTCAGCTTCTGCTTGGCACCCTTGTTCTTCATGAGTTAGTCCCAGAGGCTGCCCCTCCGTCCTCGCCCTCCCTCTGCTCGGCACCGCGTGGACGATGGTCTCGGGGAGAGGGAGGTGGGGGGGGGAGGGTTGTCAGATCCCTGACGGCAGCGTGGCGCTGGGGGTCCGCATGGATCACCGCGAGGACAGCGGCGGGGACCGGGGCGCGGGAGTACGGAATCCCCCCGCGGGACGGCTCGGCTCCCCCGGGGTCCCCACGCGCACGCGAGTCAGGGCGCGGCGGGGTGCGCACGGCCGCAGCCCAACCGAGCCGGCGGACGATCCACCCAACCCGGTGCGTGCGCCCCCGTGCTGCGCCCGCGCCGCCGTGCGGTGCCGGAGGCCGCTCGCCCCGGGGAGTTGTCACTTCCTCACCGGGAGTCCCCGGGACTTCCAGACGCTCCGTCCGGCGGCGGCGGCGGCGGCGCGCGAAGTCTTCGGGTCGTTCCTTCCTCCTCTCCGCCTTTGTGGGTGTCCCGGAGAGGCAAGCGGGGCGAGGGGACAGCCCCGGGGGCTGCGCTGCGTCCTGCTGCCCTGGGCCCCGCCTGTCTCGTCTTCAGACGGCTTGGCCAACGCCAAAAGCCAGCATCCTGCCTCCTGCGCCCGCCCTCGCGCCTCCTCTCTCCTCTCTCTCTCTTCTTTTTTTCCTGTCTTACAAATCCGAGGATCATCCAGCTCAGGAAACGCTGGAAGGAAGTTAGCTCCGGGAGGGGGGGGGCGGAGGGTGGAAAGTTTTGGCCGCCTCGGAGCTGGAGTGTGCGGAGCGGGAGGAAGTAGGTGGGTGGGTTGAGAAGTGCGGGCTGGGGAGGGACCAAGCTCTCCTGAGGCCAGCCCGTGCCTCTGGAGAGATAGCTCGGGGCCGCCCCGGAGGAAATCGCTGCTCTCCCGGGAGGGGGTTGGGGAGGGGTTGGGGTGACGGGCACCCGCAGCCGCCCCGCCGCTTCCTGCCCCGCCGTGGGCTCCCTACCAGAGGACGGGAGGGCGTTCCGCGGGGAGCGCGCGGGACGGGGCGCGCGCGCGCGCGCACCGACGCACCCGCCTTGTCAATCCCATCCTTGACACTTTCTATTTCGGGGTCCGCCTTTCTCCTCCACAGACACTTAAGGGTAAGTGACAGGAACAAAGACAGGGACCTTCTCCCCCCCCCCCCCCCCCCCCCCCCCCCCCACTCCAGGCAGGCTGAGGATCTTGACAAGCCGCGGGGGGTGGGGGTGGGGTTACACTGGTCACTGCTCATCTCCTTCTTGCGGGTGGGGGGTAGTCCACGTACCCCAATTCACCTCCCCCCACCCCACAGGCTTCTCTCTCTCCCACACCGAGGTAAGCATACCCCTGGGCCACAGAGGCTGCGGCTGCAGCTTCGTAACCGTTGCCTCAGGAAGTCAGATTTCTGGCTACAGATTTCTGCACACACACACACACACACACACACACAGTATTACGAAGGGTGCCCATGGAGGTGATTCTAGGGCACAGCCCCGCATTTAAGAGGCCTCGGGTATGTTAGTGTAATGTAGAAAACAGCCATCTCCCGAGCTGCTTTATAGTCAGGAAGTCATGTTTTTCCTTCTCCACTTAGGTTTGAAATTCCTTGACTTCTGTGTACTCAGCACACAGCAAGCACTCGAATTCTTGTGATTTAACCGTTTGAGGAGTACATTAAAACTTCCTGTATATATTCAAATCCATATTTAGGCTTTGGAGAGCTGGACTGCTGACAGCAACTGCATGTATAGTTACTGAATCCTTTTACATTCATCTTCATCTCACCCGGACAGTTTGTGAACTTTGACCCCTGACCTGATAGCCAACCTACCAAATCTGGCCTACAGATGTGCTTAAGTGGGAAAATAATAATATTAATATCCAACATTAAAGAGTTCAGTTTTGTTTTTGTTTGTGTGTTTTACATAAGCAATCTGGTTTACTGCCTTCTTTTGCAAAAAGGAAGCTCTGATTACTCCACCAGGGTGTTCCCAAGTGGCAAAGATCACAAATGCCAAGTCCTGACAACCCTGTGGAGACCCCCTCTTTGGAGATGAACCTTCCAAGAGGGCGGCTCCCACTGCGTGCCTTTTCTTTCCCCTCTGCCTCTGCCTGGCCTTTGGAGCCTCTGGAATGTGTACCTGAAACTCCAAGCTTGGGGTATGGGGTCTCTCCTTCCTTCCCTTTAGTTTTCATCTGACTCTTAGTGACACCCAGTATTTTCCCAGTCATCTTGGCTAGACATCTTAGAGTAACCATTGACTCATTTCTCTCCTTCCACCCTCATTTCCAAGCTAGCCCTGCCCAGTCTGATGAAGCCTTCAAAATGCCTCTCGGTTGGGGGTGGTTCTTCACTGGTCAGCTGAGAGAACTCATCCACCCCTCAACTAGAATAACCCACAGTGGGATTTGCAGAATCTACCCTTCCTTCTTCACTTATCCTAGGTACCAGAGGCCCAATGTTCTTCCTGAAGTATTTCTTTTGAGAATCTGCCCATTTCCTGCTCTCTGAAATTTCTGACCATTTTCTAAGTTGCTTAGAGAATCCAGCAGAATGTTTAATATAAGCTGCTTGGAGAGTCCAGCAGTATGTTTAACAAAATGATTTGCTTCTCCTGTTATTTATAGAGAAGCCTTTCCATATGGAACTTTAATTATCCCTACTCACATTTGTTTAGGAGTTTACTTTAGCAAGGACTTTCATATTTTCCTACTTGTCTTTCTCTATGTTTACTGAAATCAGATTCTTTTTCTTTTAATAATAAAAAGAAAAGAGTGGGAGAAACTCAGGTGTAGGCTCCAGTTTTTTCATTGGGTTGCAAATTTCCTAGGATGCAAGAATACATGGAGATAGTATAGGGACATTGATTGAAGGAATAAATAAGTGATTGGGCCATAATACAAATAAGGCCTGGTGCAAATTGACTAGAATTTTGCCCATAGGGGTAAAGAATTTTATGACAGTCTGCATTATCTCTTATCTGCACCTGTTGAGGTCAGAGGACTATTGAAATATTTACCTGCTCTTTTAATCACCAGGAATGTAATCGCTGTAAATACAGAAGACAGAGCAGATATTGGAGGTGGGGGTCTTAGAGGCACTTATGATTATAAGAACCTAATGGATAAGAAATCAATTTGAGCTGGGTGCCGGTGGCTCACACCTGTAATCCTAGCTACTCAGGAGGCTGAGATCTGAGGATCGGGGTTCAAAGCCAGCCTAGGCAGGAAAGTCCGTGAGACTATCTCCAATAAACCACTAGAGAACCGGAAGTGGCACTGTGGCTCCAGTGGTAGAGCGCTCACCTTGAGCTGAAGAGTGTAGGGACAGTACCCAAACCCAGAGCTTAAGCCCCACGACTGACCAAAAAATAAAAAAAGAAATGAGAGAGAAGGAATGAGAACCAGAACCAGTGTCCATCCTGACCCAGGTGCCCTCCAGTGCTCTTCCCTTTGAAGCCAGCATTGCTTCAAAAGGGCTTCTGGGGACAAGCAGATGCCCTGGTAAAAACAGAGAACAGGCAAGGCAGGGGCAGATCTCATCACTATAAGGATCTCTCTCTTGATCTCTCATTGTATCTTTTAGTTCTCTTTTGGTTCCTAGAGTTGTAAAACTGTATTCAGAGGGAGAAGTATCACATACTATTGCACACATATAGCAAACATTACACACACACACACACACACACATATATATACACCACAGATATTATACATACATTACACACATATCACACAGAGAGATAATGCTTTACACCCTCACTTTCCCAACTGAGAACATAATTAAACTTCTTTGCCATCAACTAGGAGTTTGGGGGATAAAAGACTAGTTAAAAATATTATATTAAGCTGGGCACTGGAGGCTCACATCTGTAATCCTAGCTACTCAGGAGGTTGAGATCTGAGGATCATGGTTCAAAGCCAGTTCAGGCAGAAAAGTTCATAAAACTATTATTTCCAGTTAACCAACAGAAAACCAGAAGTGGTGCTGTGGCTTAACATAGTAGAGCACTAGACTTGAGCAAAAGAGCTCAGGAACAGTGCCCAGGCCCCAAGTTCAAGCCCCACTATCAACAAAAACCAGAAAACAAAAAGGCTATATTATAAACAAAGTCTTACTTTAGCAAGTAAGAACTTAAATGGATCAGTCTTCTATCTTCTAGACTCAGACTGATATTGGAGAGAATAGAGATTAAAATGACTCCAGGTTTATAAGACTGCTGTCTGGAAGGGAGGAAAACTAATCTTTGCAAAACAAAAACCAACTACCTCTTGCCACATCAAAGAACATGTCTTCCGGGAGGAAATGTCCTTTGATGATACAAAATATAGGGCTGAGATGGGTACCAGTGGCTCATGTGTTTGTAGTCCTGACTATAAGGCTGAGATCTGGAAGATCTAGGTCCCAGACCAACCAGAAGCAGAAAAGTTCACAAGATACCTTCTTTACCGAGAGCTCACACCAATTGCCTGCCTGTCAACCCGGCTACAAGGGGAAGTCTAAAATAGACAGATTGCAGCCCTGGCTCATACCAGGGCAGGAAGCAAGACCCTATCGCAAAAATAACCATAACACAAAAAAGGGGCTAGACTTGGTGATAGAACACCCAAGTGCAAAGTCCTGAGTCCAAACCCCAGAACTGCCCCCCCCCCACACAGAGAACTAGGTAAAGCTGACAGGTTAGAATGAGAGATGAATTATCTGCACATAGTATTTGAAGTTATTTATGAAATAAGATTTATTTATTTAAGCCAGTCCTGGGGCTTGAACTCTGGGCCTGGGTGCTGTTCCAGAGCTCCATTTTGCTCAAGGCTAGCATTCTACCACTTGAGCCAGCCACAGCGCTACTACTGGCTTTTTCAGTGAAATTAATTGAAGATAAGAGTCTCACACATTTTCCTGCCCACAATCCTCAGACCTCAGTTTCCTAAGTAGCTAGGATTACAAATGTGAGTCACAGGCATTGGCTTGAAATAAGTTTTTTTATCATCAATATTTTAGTTCTACTCTTAATTTATTTTGTGAGATCTTTCATGTCCTACTGAACGTTAAGCAAGCAAACAAACACACATAACATCTGAACCGTATGCACAGTTGTGGCATTAAACTGAGTCTTGAGTAACCCAGACACGAACAAACCAGACAGTACAGGGCCCCCTTGTCCCATTCCACCATGGGTAT